ACATTTGGTATGTGTTATACCATCGATGGAGAGGGAGTGAGAGAGCGTTTATATATGTGGGCAATAGGACTGAACGGAAACATTTTAGGAAATGAAAAAATTTCTCCCTCTTCTTCATCACAAAATACTGGCCAACAAAACATCAAATATTTAATGTCTTTTGGCTTTCAATTAACTTATGGCTTGAATGAATTAATAGGAAATTGATATCAAAAACTTATAAAATTGAGTTCAAAATACATGATATGTTTATGAATTCAAATATAAAAAACAGTTATTTTAAAATATTTTAAACTTAAGATACAATTGAAACAAACAGAAGAATCACAGAAGAGATTGCATAGAAATATAAGAGATGTGTGCAAACAATACCATATGATCTTCTGCAAAGACATGCGATTATATGATAAAATAACGTGACATTTGATCAACATTTTAATCTATATTTTGTCACTTTATTTTTGGGTATTTTTTGCGAAATGTTTTTTTGACGAAAAAATTATGAAAAATTGAAAATCAATATTATTTCATACCGTATACAGTATTTTTAGTGTACAAAAAATCAGTTGCAATGAATTTGATATTTACTTAACTTTAATATGATTTTAAGTCAAGTAATATTCAATAGCATGAGAGAGAGAGAGAGAGAGAGAGAGAGAGAGAGAGANTGCTTTGCTAGGTGACACATTTAGGCATACAGTACTAGGTTATATAAATTCATTTTGCATTCAATATTTAGAGAGAGAGAGAGAGAGAGAGAGAGAAAGAGAGAGAGAGAGAGAGAGTCATTATTCTAGCCATAGATTAAATTTTATTAAATGTTTATCAATTATATCTATGAATCGTTTGTCCGATAGTTTTCCACATTTACAACAACTAATATCAACTGATATTAGGATTAAAATATTAACATATAATCATTTACAACGTATTAATTAAAACTATGTGATTGTTTCAGACTAAATGAGACTTGAAATTTTTTAGCCTTATAATAAAATTTTGAAACAAAAGCTGTGATCATTTCATATTCTCATATCATTTTTGGTTTATTAAGTCTTTTCAAGCAATTGGTAAAGCAGTGAAATTCACAATTAAATAAACAATTGGACACAAATGTAATTAAATACTCTCTAAATATATTTAAATATCTAAATTATTTAAACTCTCTTTAAATATCTAAATTACAATTTATTAATTTGATTTCAATTAAAGGGCAAATATGAATGGAGAGAATGAATGTGTCATCTGTTTAGGCGATATGAGTGCCGACGTCTATCAACTAAATTGTGGCCACAGATATCATTTCGATTGTATCGGTCAGTGGTTTATTACAACACCCAATTGTCCCATTTGTCGTCAGGCAATCACTACGCCCACACTCATCGCCTATTGGGGCCGACAATGTTTAACTCCCATTCGCTTATATCTAAATGAGTTGAGGACAGGGAACCCGACCGCCAATTTGATTAGTTGGTCGACACCCCAATTGGCTTTGCAGGTCCATCCGAGTTCTCCCACACCATTGGCCGCAAATTTGGTAAGCAATCAAACGGTTGCAAATGAGCCCAACCGCACGGCACCGGTCGGTATGGAGCCCAACGCTTCCGTGATTTCTGGGCCGACTGTCCGCACACAACAAGCGAATGGCAGTCAGCGAAGCGCTGCAACTCGTCCTGAATTTTGCTGGAATTACGAGTATATAAGAAGACACCGACCCATGCCTTATGTCCCACATTCGCATCCCAAGCCCTGGAGTTATTGATTGGATCCACACTTTACCTGTATATGTCTTATGAATTTATAATTTGTTTATTAATACATTCTATTATATAAATTTGATATTAATTTAGGTCGGATTTTCAAAATTATAAATGTTAGGATTGTTTTTATTATTTTTAAATTTTCTAATATTTTCATAAACATTCTTCATAAAGAATGATTTTATATAAGATAAAGTTTTTATTATTGAGATAAAATGTTTTTACTTTTCTATCTATGTCTAGTCTATGCAATAAATGTTTGCTGTATTCAAAATGTAATCTTGCATTAAATTGTGTTATTAAAGTAATGATTTTATTTAAATATAATTAATAATTAATTGTATAAAACCGTTTTTAGGTAATTATAAACTCTCTCTTTTGTCTGAACATAATAAAAAACCCATCATGTATTCAATACAACACAATAACAATGATATCAATGGA